GCTATATCAAAATCTGAACCGATTTTCACTAAACTTTGCTCACATCATTCTAGGATCAATTCAGTACGCTGTGCCAAATTTCGTGGAAATCGAGAGATATATAGGGACATTGGTGCACCATTTACTTTAAATCGGACGAAAATATATATGGGAGCTATATCTAAATCTGAACCGATTTGTTCCAATTTCAATAGGGTTCGTCCCAGGGCCAAATAAATGATCTGTGCCAAATTTGATCTCATTCGGATAATAAATGCGTCCTGCACTTGTTTACAATTTAACATGGACAGACGGAATTTTTGTAGACTAGATTTAGTGTTGCAATTATTTTTAGGCGTGTGCTTTGTGCAATTTTATATCCATAGATGCAAAGAGGGTTGACACTAGATTGCAATATATTAGATGTGCAATATTAAAAAAAAACTGTGACAGATATAAACACAAGGTAACATAAAAACACATTTTTCTTAAAGTTATTAAACACTGTTGTATACCGAATGACAGAATCACGGGCAACATCATTTCCAAATGTAGGGGTTCGTAGCACCACAACAACAATACACAATACACAAATAATAACAATAATAACTCCAATAATGATAATTCTATTCGAGTAGACAAGCGTAATCATCGAATAATGATCGTCGTCTATTGTTTGAGTTTAATTGTATTGCTGGTGTTGTTATTTTATTTTGTTTTATTAGCTTCCGCCGATACTATTCGAGTGCACGCTTAGTACCAGGTATCTGTTTCGTTTTTGTTGCTCTTTATAGACGAAAGTTGGATTTATTTTATTGCTACTGTTGTTGTTTATTTATTTAATTGTTATTTTGTTTTATTTTTGTATATTATTTATTTTTGTCTAAATAAATTATCTGAGGGCGGCAAGAGTAAGTACAATCCCGTCATGTATACATCCGCGGATAGATAATAGCCTGACGGTAGCTATCACATACCAGTGTATTATGCAAATGCTGATTTAGAGACGAATATACACAAACACACACACACACAAAGAAATACATTCACGTTTAGCACATTCTACAAGTAGCAGGTGGGTGGATGGGTGGTAATAGAACCTATAAACCATAATAGATAAACCACCTAATCAATTTAATTGATATTCGATGATAGATAGATAAACGCGCACAAAATACATACTTATTTCACACAGATACACATTTGAATTAGAAGTAGTCGTTTTCGAACAATTTCGATTTGATGCGGATAATAAATAAATAAACAAACAAAAAACGAAACGAAAGGGAATGACTGGTGCTTTACCGAACTCTTGCGCGTTAACAACGTTTAGCTCACGGTTTGAAAATGACAACTGAAGCGAGTAACAAGTACGCTCACCGATTCAACCGATCGATCATTATTGCGAGAGCTCCATAGTGTTGGGAAACCAATAATGGGTACGAAAACCAGATGCCCTCTTCACATCAGTATTAGTATTTGCTGAAATTCCAGCGATTAGTAAATTTTATTTCATTTATTTGTATTGGTGACCGCTTCGGTATTGATATAGTAGCATTTTTTCCAGTTTTCGAATTGACAAATTAATGTGGATTTTGTGGAAATTTGTCGAATAAGTTCCAAATAGTACCCAACATTCCAACACTGATCTTCACTTAATGTAAGGGGGCATTTATTATTCCAAGCAGCAAACCTGTCGGCCGTTGCCTCTTCTCTCGTGAATGTGCATACATACATATTTATACATTCAATTATTTGTTGTGTGTGTGTGTGTGCGACCGTGTTTGTTGTTAAATCGATAGCTCAGAAATGGTATAGCAGATACGATCGTTGGCTTTACTGGTTTCGAATCAACGCTCAAATAGCGACGACGACGACGACAACAACAGAATTCTCTTTGTCGTGAAATGGACAAATGTTTGTTTGTGTGTGTGTGTGTTTGAAGCTTACATTCAGCCAATATGTATGGCTTCATAATTTGTTTAGCTTAAAGGGGGAGATGAAAACACCACCCAAATGCCGTCTCATTTTAAGACGCTCTTTCATGGTCACTTTGTAACACAGTCGACCATCGAGAGCGAGCGGGAGAGATGACGAATTTACTCTCATAAACAACATTCCGCCTAATGACGCTGATATGGGGAACAAGTGACGTATATTCCGAGAGTTTTGATTTTATACCCAAATATCTTTTATTACGTTTCCTGTTTTTATGTTTCATTTTCTTCTTTGTATATTTTGCAGCGTATTATTATCGTACTACTTTTCTGAAATATACATTATTGTATGTTAATGTGTATGTGTACGTACATATTTTTATGATGTAATCTTATACGACCAGATTGATAATTGCATATGGTCCAGCGTCTAGATTTCCTCATTTCATTGTGGGCATCTAAAACATGGCTACAAGTTTGAATATATTTGCAGTGAATTCAATAAATCAAGTTTTAATGACATTTGTATTGTTAACCATGCAATTTATTATTAATGGTTCTAAATTTATATCATATATATATATATATATATTTTTTTTTTTTTTGAAAAGAACAATATTCGTCGTAGTGATTTCGTAATAAGAGTAATAAAATGGTTCTTGGTTCCTTTAAACAAAACTTAAAGGTTTCAAGTTCTATATTTGATGTTCCAACAAAGCTGATGTCCAGAATGTTGATTAAAAAATTAATATTACTATACCGCAATCTAGGTCGCATATACATTCGTTTTTACCACATAAACGTCTATTATACTATATAATATTTCAAATTGAAATATATATATATATATATGGGAAATTACAAAAATCTTTTAAATTCCTTGAAGTTGAGGTTTGCAAGGTTATAACTCGCGAAATATGAACATATTGCATATAATTTAAATTCAATTCTATAAAATGAAGTGTTCTTGTCAAAATCTTGAAATATTGGTAATAAATAATAAGTTGCGTGGAAGCTGTGATGGTGGTAATGTAAAAAAATGGGTGAAAATGTGTTGAAGCCAACGAGTTTTTTTGTGTTCGTTCCCGATTTGTGGCTAAACTACACAACGCACACACATGTGATCAGTGACTAAGTTGCAGAATACCCCATGGACAATATGGTTCTAATGTATGATTTTTCGATATAATCACTGCATCCACCCAAAATGGATGCTGACATTTTGAAGCCGGATTTTCGGTGTTTTTTGAATTTTTCTTATAATTAGGATGCGCATCCAGACAATAGAATAAACTAATTATAGGATCGTAGAACTCGTGATTCTGCTTCGTTTAGTGTATATCTCATGAATGTGCTCACTGTAGCTTCTTTGCAATTGGGTTCCAAAGACGAAAATTTAGTGCGTAAATTTTTATAAAAAACATATTTTTTTAGTCTAAAATTAAGAAAGTCCATTCAAATTCCGTGGAACCCCGCGTGATTTTAGTTTTTTTACGTGCCGGATCTAATGAGCCCATCCATGTTCAATTCCGCCCATTTAAACGGCGGATATAGGTACCTTGAATGTGGGAAAAACTGCAAAAACTTATTTTGACAAATTCGCGTAAATAATCGCGGTTTTCTTCGAATTAATTTTACATGCATTTATGCTTGTATTGTCAAATTCGCGAATCTGCGTGGAAATAGGTCAAAAATACATCGATACGCGAATAATATGCGTATTTTATCCAAAATTGATTGTGGAGGCACATCCGCGGTTCTTAACCGATCCTTTTAAAATAGGTGTCCTTTTGCGTATTTTCATAGGAGATTACTAAAATCGGATGCGCATAAAAATCGTATGCACGTTGCGTGATTTTTAGCCATTTTTAGGGTTTTTGCATAGTAAAGTGCATCGAGTGGCACACTTTGACCGCTAAATTAAACATTGAAAAATTAATAATTATTGAAAGACATTGATTCGGTTTATACGAAAATTGCATGCGCATCAACTGATTTCAATTAATTCGCGAATTGCAAGCTTTTCAATATTGATCATTTTTATGTATTGTAAATGCAATATATTTAGCCATTAATGACGTCGAAACTCTTATCAGATGAATCTGCCGATATTTAACAATCATCTAAAAGAATTTGCAGAAGAAAGCGTCGTATATTTTAGAAGATTAAGGCAAAACCGTATCCTCTTAACCATACTAAAAAAATCGAAAATTCAAAAAAAAAAAAAAAAATAGTTTTAATTCAAAAATTAATTTATTTTATTTTCCGATATCTTCATGTTTCTATTTGTTTTTCGCGACTATTAAACCGTATTTCAGTGTGATTTGACTAGTATGCAAAGAAAACAATGGTGTTTAAGCATTTGTGAAGAAATTCGCGAATTACAACGAATAGGAATCCATTTAATATATATTTGAAATACAAGATTTAAAACCGCTATAACTTTTGTGCGCAGCATCCGAATTTGTGAACGCGAACAGATTTCGAATCAGCATATTTTTCTTAACCTATGTACCAAAAATCATAAATGTGCTCGCAAAAAAAATTTTCAAAATTTTTTTAATGGAATTTTAAAAGAATTTTGTAATTTCCCATATATACATATATATAAAAAAATATTGGAATATGTTTCCTAAAATGCTTAGGAGTACTTATGGGTCCTTCCGTTTCTGATACTTTGGCTAGCAGTTTTTTAAAGCCTATTAGTCAGGTCTACAAATTATCACTACAATTTCCAGGTAAAATGTAGTTGTAAATGAAAATCGTCTGTTGTTTTTAAGCTTTTAATTTGGCAAGATAACTATTTATTGAATACAATCTTATCGATGTATAATTAAATGTGATTGACTACTGTGTAATCGGTCACATGAGTATCTAAATAATCCCTTTGTCTATCATTTATGTGCTAGCAGGTGACAGAGGTTGGGATTTTTTTTCGATTTCAAAATTTTGGCATGGGCTATTTATATATTGGAGAAAAATATTTTAAGGCATAGAAATGTAAAGACCTGACAAAATACATTTGGGGAAAAATAGTTTGATACAAAATATGTAAGGACGCTTGTTCTAGACACTCAAAAGCAGTCTTTATTTTTCAAGAATTGTATATAGTAAATACATATTTTACAATCAATTTATTATTTTTTTTTTTTTTTGGATTGCTGGGGTACTGTGCTAGGTACTGCACATCTTCTAAATAGTTTAACTGTAAATAGTATTATTTCAACGATTCGTGTTTTACGCAGATAAAATCTTTGCACGCTATGTACTTTTTTGTGGAAAAAATGACTCAAATACAACTGTTTTCATTTACATGCCTGTGCCGATGTCCATGTTCGCCTGCCTATTGACGATTTATTACATTTTTACATGCCCAAATATTTTGGACAGTGATAGTGGATATGTAAATAATAGAAATCGTCACCACTTAATTGGGTAGTGTCTCTGTCATCATCATCATCGTCATGATTATCATTATTGCCGATTGGACATTGTGAAGGTCGTAGGGAATGTGGAATGTACGTTGGTAAAGTGTTCTTGATACCAACATGTCTATTTAAAATTCCATTTGCATCAGCTGGACACTCGAATATGCTGTTGGATTCATTTCCCGTACCACATCGAGTGAAAGCGTTCATTTTCGATAGAGGAGTATTGACAATATTAACCAAATTTTAGTTAAAAATGTGTTTGGCACATTTTGAAATTTGGTATGGGTAATTTTTGATTTTCGAAACAATACATTTGAATATTTGAAGTGAGAAAACGTCGAAACATGCAACTCAAAATAATAGAATTTCCCAAGCATACACTAGAAACGAAATAATGACGAATTAGATCTAAACCGAGGACACAGGTATATTTATTTTTAATAATTTAAGGGAAACCCCCGAATATCGATTTAAAATTTTCAAGATTTTCACATATATATGGGCAATATTGCCAATTTTTTAACATAGCTGAAGCGGAGGTTCACCCCTTTATAACTCGGGAACTACTTAAGTATATGAAAAAAAGTGAATAGTTTTGGGTTTATTGTTCTGTCGTTGCAAACTGTTCATAATATTGACCTCCAACCTTTATTTTGGTGGAAGCTGTGTCTACTTTATTGTAAAAAATGTGTAAAAACAGGTTGAGGCGAACCAGTTTTTTTATGTTCTCTATCGATTTGTGACTAAGCCACTCATTGCACGGTCTTCGTGTCAAAATAAAACTAGAAGCCAACAAAATGGGGACTATGCCCCTTATGTATCATTTTTCAAAATTTTAACTGCATCTACCTTTAAACGATGTTGACATTTTGAAGCTCGATTTTGAGTGCTTTTTGAATTTTACTTCTAGCTTTAATACGCAAACAGGAATTTATAAAAATCGATTATAAGATTATTGTAGTCGCGAATCTGCGTAATTTGATATGTATTTTGTGTATGTAGTATGCACAGCTTCAGAGTAATACTCATCCGAAGGTGCGAATTTTGTGCGATCAAATTTCTAAAAAACCTATTTTTCGGGCCAAATTTTTAGATCTGTCAACAGAATGATATGGGTACCCGCGATTAATAAGGTTTTTTACGTTTCGGATGATATAAAATCTTTTTCGTGAAAATCCATCTACTAGAACGGCGGGAACTGGCCTTCCAAAAACACGAAATTTGGCAAAAAATGTTTTTAAAAATATCGCGGATTTATTTGCGTTTTCTGCGTATCATTTCCGCTTCAATAAATGACCTCATACGGATTTTGATCTTTTTCGAAAAGAGAACTTTAAAAACATCAGCCGAAAGAGAGATGTACGCAATTTATCTCAAAAATAGATTGTGCTGGCACATCCATGGTTCTTAATGGACCACATTGAAATGGTATAGATCGATGTATTTTTTTAGGGTGCACACCGAAATCGGATGCGCGTTAATGGCATATGGAGTTTTCGGAAATTATTCGCGTTTTACGATTTTTTGGGTACTTCAATGTAACGTGCGGCACATCTTAGCCGTCAAATGAAATTTCGCAAAATATATATGGATTGGATGATAAACTTCAGTACTTACTGGAAACCGCATGCGCATCAAATGATTTTGAGAATTACGCGATTTACACGCAATTTAAAATGTATATTTCATAATATTATTTTATTTTAAGATTTATTCCTATTTATAGAACCCCAAGATTTATCGGAAGGGTCTTGATATAATCCGCAAGGCGTATACTTATACACAAAAAGTGATTATTATATATGTAAATTTTTTCGGCGAAATTCGGGTAAAATAGCAGAATAACCCCAACATTTGTTTCTGAAATTTCTTGTATACAATTAAAAAAATAAATATGATGACATTATTTTTTCGAACCAAAAACAAATATTTTTCCCCAATATCTTGTTTTGTTGTCGCTGTGATTTAGAAACCGCTACACGGACTTGTGTGATTTTGATATCATTTGATTCACCATGGTGTTTAGATTATGTAGATATTTTTAAATTAATTTTTAGGTGTGTGTGTATGTCATTAATATAATGAAAATATTGATGTAATCTGCTATATTTTTTTATTTTTCTCATATTTCGCGAATATGTGCAACTTTATCGTGTTTATTATAATATATTCATATTCTTATTTTACGGACGAATATATATATCAACGTTTTTGGTCAATATAATAAACGGCGTAATTTTAAGATTTTTATCTTATGCCCAAAATTAAAACCTCGATAACTTTTGCGCGCATCAACCAAAAATTTGATCGTGAACGGTTTCGGAGTCTGAACATTTTTTTCTATATGTGTACCAATAATCATTGATGTGCCACAAAAACAAAAAAGCTGATTTTTTGAAAATGGAATATTAAAAAATTGGCAATATTGCCCATATACATTTGAAGAATTGTAATAGCAGAAAAATAATTTACAAAATGTTTTTGTTATTGTTTTATTGTTGTTTTTTGTGATTGACGAAATGTAATTTTTTTGATGGGGGGCATGATAACTCCTCACTGGAACATCGGAATCCGAAAACAGTTTTAGAAAGAGTACATGCCTGGCTCTTGTATGAACTAGACTTAATGATTAATGACATCGCGGACAATTGAAAGAAGATTTTTTTAAATCTCCTATTTTTGACCACAAACTACGATAAAAATAAGGAAGATAATCACCGATTTGATTTATCCTAGTTCATACGATAGCTATACATTCAAAGGGAAACATGTAAAAATTTGGAAACGATTGGATTATTATTTTTTGAGTTATCGTGCCCGTCATTCGTAAAAACACGGTTTCAGGAAAAACGGGATTAAAGTTTGAGAAGCGCCACAGTCGTCGCTTGATGTTTACACAAAAACAGAATTAAATTTTTGAAACTGAGAATGGGTGCATTTGCTCGTAAAGATTCTATTAAATAGATCTGTAATAAAATATGACAACACGAAAGGGTGCTGTTCATACGTATATCATTTTGAATTCATTTTAGATGATAATATTGAATATACTCGTATTTAATTTAAATGAATTAGGAATAGCAATTTTCCTTCACCAGTATGTTTCATAACATTAAAGTACAGGTAATCTTGGTAAATTGAGTCGTTTGTTTTGAAAGTAGTTGGGTTTGATTTGTTTCAAAATTATTGTTGGTATTAATTTTGTTTGTGGCTTTGTGCCCTTCAACATGTTAAAAAAATAAAACGTTAGGGGAGACTGGGGCACCTTCGGCACTTTTTTTTTAGAGCTCTATATCTCAGTACTTATTCAACATTTATAACAACTTTATGGCTGATTATTGTCCTCAGACACTTAATTATAAAAAATAGTACCAAAAAGATATAAAAAAATAGTATTAGTTAAAAAATTTTACAGTTTTGTAAAAAAAGTCAAATTCGCCGAATGTGCCCCAACCCGGGGTAGCTTCGGCATTTGATGGGGCACATTCGGCAACATAGTCATAGCCGGGTAATTGTCATCGCTATCAGTCTGGTTGAAATTCTGATCCTCTAAAGGCTCTATTTGGTTTTAATACGCCACACAATGTTTGAATTATAGGGCTTTATTTTCTAACGGCGTACGTTTACATCTTAAGCTCACACACAACATCAGAAATAAGGGTTTTCTATCGCATTTTCGTCAATACAAGTACGTTTGTTCTTATATATGCAATTTCGGACCATATTAAAGGATTAGTTTTAAAGACAAACTCAAAAACATTTTAAGGAAATAATATTGCACAATCTGTATAAGGCCGAATGGGCCCCACTTTAAAATGCCGAATGTACCCCGAATGTACTTTTTATAGTTTTTTTCATTTTTTTCGATCAGTTTTTAAAAACATTATATTTTTAAACATTTCTATAATAATGCACATCGTAGTTAACCACTTTTTAATAATATTGTCTTAAAAATTTAAAAAGTTGTATACGCGAAATACTTACGAAGTGGAATTGAAATATTACAGAAACATCTAGAAAAATATAAAAACCCATGTATCTAAATTAGTTTATTAGCTAGAAATTTCAAACTTTGTGTCAGTTATTTATTTCGATATTCGATACCTATGTATCGAAACTAGTGATGTACGGTGAGAGCTTCATATCGAAAACGCGATTGCCGAAGGTGCCCCGATGCCGAAGGTGCCCCAGTCTCCCCTATATGTTTTGTAAAATGTACTAGAAATCCAAGATTTGTATCAGAACCTAAAATGGACTTAAACCACTTTCAAAATAAAGGGCTCAGTTATAAATATGCAATATTAACCGACTCCGCCGTAAACTTGACGAGTTACCATTAATCTAAAATATTTTGAATTAAAATTAAGACGCATCTGATCACGCTTGTGAATCGACCCCATATAACGATAAATTATTATTATGAGTATATTAAATAGTTAGTCACATGTTCATTTGGCTTTTCGGATTCCAATCCGTTTAATGTACGTTTTGGATAATTAATGTTGTTAAACTCATTTGACATTTGGTAGAAGATCTTCCAATACCAATACCAATTTCAATAACCAATTTTTGATGAGGACCTAGCTACATTTACATTTCGAATTGTATGTCGTTTTGGGTTCTCATTGGGTGGAATGCCTCCTTTTCTTTATTGATTTGTAAA